TACGTATTCTCGGCAACCTAAGCAGCGATCATCTTTCTATAGTCTTTTTATCTAAGGAACGCACACATATGCAGTATTGGTTTGTTTACAATCTTTTACTGCCAGCTGCTCTAACAATTTCATTCGAAAGAATTGTCAAAAACTGTTTTGAAACGCTTTTACAAAGCTCCAATCTTCTCTAGTGAGAGCGACTATTGTGGGCAACATCTTTTTATTCGGCAACCTTTCTATTTGAGCTGCGTGTTAAACGGCTGTGCTTTCATCGGCAGCTCGAAATCAGCAGCATTTTGTAGTGCGTTTGTTTCATTTCAAGAAAACCCTGCTAGATTACGTTTCGTTTGAATGCATTCAGCGAGTGTTTTCGTGAGAAAATCCAGCGAAATTAGCGTTTTAATTTGGGTTGCCGAAAATAGTATGTCATGCCGAAACCGTCATTTCCCCTAATAAAAAAAGCAAAAATTGATTTAGGGAATTTCTTGCTAAAATTTTCCAATCGCGAAATATTTGCGATCAATAATATAAATTCGATTTTTTTTTTGCTTTTTTCGAGCGTCCTGGAGAAAAACCTTACCTTAATTCGAAGTGTTTCTGGTTAGTTGATAAGGTCAGTGTACCGCTTCAATACTGTTACGCATTTGACCACAAACGTTTGGTTGCTGGGTACAGTATTAAAGAGCTTTGGGGGTGATGTGACTGGCAGCAAGACGAGCGAACGTGCAATGGAAATTAACTTTTAAACAAAAATAGGACCGTTTTGCCGTGATGGTTGAGTAATGCTGAGCTATTAGGGTGTTCAACACGAATGAAGATGGCGAGCTGTATGTTGTTTGGAACGAGAGTGATCGCCTTTGTACAGATGGCCCACAGCGACTCACAAAGAGCTGCTGTATCCGATCAGTAGCGGTGCGGCTTGTTCCTCCTTCGTAGGTGAATCAAGGGCTCTTGAGGGCAGTGCTGCACCGTTCGAAAAATTCATGTAAATTTCTGCGAGATATAGCGCACATAAAATTAACGCTAGATTTGGCATAAGTTTGCGCGATATTTCGTGTAAATTTAAGCGCAATATCGCATATATTAGCAATATTGCATACAAGCTTTTAAACGATTTCACTGTTCATGCCAAGTATAGCACAAAATTAAACGAAGGGAGGTTTTACGCGATAGTTAAAATTCAGAATTTTTTTCTGTGTGGTGAAGAATGCACAACGCCACGCGCCGAATGCACTGCTGTTGCTGCTGATGATGACCAATGAGCTGGATTACCGAGGTGAAGCAATCGGTTAAGTTGTGTGAGTAAAACCCCTGTACGATACAAGCAATTAGTGACGTCACTACTTGCGTTTACGTTGATTTTTTGGTTTACTAATACAACAATATTTCACGATCTGCTTCACCTCTCTCTGTACCTTATTGGCTGATGACGACCGGACAACAAATAGAGCTAATAAACTATAGAGGAAGTCATTGTTGCTTGTTAGGTAGAAGAGTGGACTACCCTAGCAAAGTATGAGATCAAATTGAAAACTAAATTTGAATACCTAACCTGCTACCTGCTCACCACGCCGTCCGAAGCGAAAATGAGTTGAGGCATTTTGCCATTTAAATGATCTTTATTTCTTGTGATTGTGTGTTTTACATGTATGAATTTTTTAAGTGACACAGATGCGTCTTTTCAACTTTAGTACATTTGAGATTTTAATTATTAATAACAGTTCCTAGTCCTATCAGGCCTATTTTAAAGTATGACCACCTTGGTGGGATTGGTTTGATTTGAATTGGAAAAAGGATACTACTTATAACTACTATTTACAACTACAACTAACCTACAACTACTATATACACCTAACCTACTATATACAAATTGCTTATCAAAGCATGTTCTGATAAATTACATTTTTGTGCAAATTTAGTCTTAATTTCGTTAATTTTGGAATCTATTTTGGCAATGCCTGCCTCTTCATGTAAATTTGTTATTCTAGTGTCGAAAGGACGATCAAGAATCATCCTCAGCACTCTATTCTGAGCTACCTGAATTTTGTTCCTGTGAGTCTGTGCACATGATTCCCACACCGGAGCTGCGTAGAGGATCGCAGGTGCTATGATTTGTTTGTAGACGGCCAATTTGTTCACCCTTGAGAGGCGGGATCTGCGGCAAATCAGCGGATACAGACTCCTAACCAAGGCGGAACACTTGACTACGGTTTTCTCCACATGCGAGCGGAATAGGAGCTTTTCGTCAAACAACATCCCGAGATAGGTTACTTCGGCGGACCACTCAACCCTTGTGCCATCCATGATTACAGTACAAGAGGGAGCCGGTTTTAGTTTGGGTGATTGCCGATGGAGGAACATGATTGTTTGTGTTTTGGAAGCATTGATTTTGATTTTCCACGTGGTGGCATAATCAGCAAAGGCGTTAAGGCATCGTTGAAGTTTGTCCGTTATTTCGCGAGGCATCCTTCCTTTGACGGCTATTGCGATATCATCTGCGAACAGGAAAAACACGCAACCGTCACCGAGGGGAGGAATGTCTGAAGTGTAGATGCTGTAAAGCAAAGGGCCCAACAGACTTCCTTGCGGAACTCCTGCTGGGATGGAAAACGTGTTTGAAAGGCAGCCATTCAACGATACCTTAAACGACCTTTGCTGAAGGTAGTTACGGGTTATTTTAACAAGATGCAAAGGAAAGTTGAAGTTAAAAAGCTTGTATACAAGCCCATTGTGCCAGACATTGTCAAACGCTTTCTCAACGTCTAACAATGCCATGGCTGTGGACTTGGATACAGCCTTGTTACTTCGGATGTTATTCATCACCCGCACTAGCTGGTGATTGGTGGAGTGCCCCTTTCTGAACCCAAACTGTTCCGGAAGGAGAATGTTTTGCTCCTCGACAAACTTGAGCAAACGATTGAGAATAAGTTTCTCGAACAATTTGCTCAGCGCTGAAAGGAGGCTGATTGGTCTATAGCTTGAAGCTAGCGTTGGGTCCTTCCCGGGTTTGCGGATAAGTATGATTTTCGCTGTCTTCCAGATACTTGGAAAGTAGTGCAGTTCCAAGCATCTGTTGAAGACAGCAGCCAGCAGAGAGTGAACCTTCATGCTGAGATTTTTCAACACTAGGTTGAATATTCCGTCAAACCCGGGGGCCTTCATGTTTTTGGTGCATTTCAGCGCTGAGCAAATCTGTTCCACTGTGATTCTATCCTCCGGAGGGATGGCACAAGGGGAGGATTCAAGGTTGAGTACGCATTGCTCAACCTGAACTTCGAGCGGACTTTGGATGTTGGAGCCAAGCAAGTGCGATTTGGCAATATGCTCACCAATCGCATTTGCTTTCTCCTGAGGGGTGATTATGAGCCGGTCGTCATCATTTTCATCTTTTAGTGGTGGAATGGGTTTAGGGTGCGTCTTTAAGACCTTGGCAACTTTTCAGAATGGTCTGGAGCGGTTGTCCAGATTCTGGACAAGCCGCCCGAAACTTTCGTTCCGGAGTGAGACCATTCTGGAAGCAATCTCCTTGTTCAGATCGGCCATTTCACGTTTCCTCGCTTGATCTCCAGTCCTCTGAAACTGGCGTCCCTCACAGGAACTCTTGAGTTGAGGCAAGATAGCAACGCTCTTTTATATCTTTTCAGTTTAAAGCAGAATGATGTGAAACAAAGTGATCGATTATGATGTCTGGGTTTGGGAAGAACGTTTATTTCATGAAAATAGTGATAAAATTATTACTTTTTATTTGTACATTGGACAATGCTACATTGACAATGACATTACCAATTTTTCAATAGTTTCTTGTTGAAAATCATCAGTCGGAAGCATTGTTTTCGATGCGTAGAAATATTTCTGATCGATTGGTGATAAAATTATTGAAACTGGTCCAGGGGCAGCTGAGTTATTAATGTTCACAATCTTTCATAATTTTGTTACATGTTCCATTTTTGGTTTTCACAAAGTATACATCCATATGGAAATCAAAGACGTAGTCCTTCGTCAAAACCCTATCTTATTATTCCATAATTTTATAAAACATTTTTTTAGCCTAATTTAATGGAAGGCACCCTGCTCTAGCTATGAAAATAAATCAATTATAAAAATGTCTAATTTCGAGATCTAAAAAAAAAACCCCGAAAATGGATTTGCTTGTTGAAGAACCAGGCTGATAATCATAACTAAAAATGAGCTCAATTTGTGGGTACAGTAACATTTGACAACAGAAGGGAAAGTTAAACGTCTCCACAGTTATATTTAAACGACTTCAAGGATTGATCTGAAGGTTTTTGTAAACCAGTCCAAAGACTAGTGAATTTAAATTATACCCACCCTATTCCCGTTTGCTATCGAAGGTATTTTTATTATTATTTTAACGAAAAATATTTTATTAAAGGCGCGATTGTGGTTCGATTCCCGATCCGATCATCTTCAGAGAACTATGACAGTCGAAAAGGACAGTGATTTGACAGTGTTTTACAATGCAAAGGACTATTTCGGAATGTTATTTTCAGAAAATGACACAAACATCGGTCAATTTACTTTGTATATGTATTTAAAGCAACTAATTTCTAAATTTTGTCGTACTAACTTTTCAACCGCTTCTCTTCTCGAAAAGAAACAAAGGACAAAAAAGATAAAAATCACAAACATCTTATATGCTTTACTTTTTACTTCAGTTTTAAGTTTTTTTTTTTGGTTTTCCATTTTTTTGTTTTTGTTTTGTTTACTCTCTTATAATCAAAGTCGTATCATTTCAAAACGTTCATTAAACCTTCTCAGAAAATAGTACGCTGCTCTTTTGCTTCCTTTTTTTTTAATTCTTTATTTTTCTTTATATTTCCGGAAGGTTGACACCCTTCCGCGCGTCATAAAATCGATTTGTATGCTTGTCTGTGTATTATTTCCGTCTCACGAATCCTAAAAATCACCAGTCGTTTACCAATTGTATTAGCTTCAGTTACTTTATTCATTCTTTTGTTTTTTTTTAGAGCGTCACTCATGTGCCAAAAAATGTTGTGTAAGTTTTGTATATGATCGATAAATTTTGAATTTGGAAATTTCTAATTTCGATTTCATCGCTTTGCTTTCGGTTGCTTAACAGTATCATAAAATATATTTGTAAACAAAATTTGTTGATTCATGCAACTACATTTGATTGATTTATCTTCAATATCATCATGCTTATAGCAGAGTACGCATCTGAAGAGTACGGGTTTGTTTTTTTTTTAATTAGAAAAATACAAACGCTACTTACAAAAATAAACGAAAGTAAACACTATAGGGCACTGCCAACAAAACATATTAAAAAGTTATAATTATATTAGTTAGTCAATAAGTAGGTATACGCACTCTTTGTCACCTGTACTACAGGTTGTGTGTGTGTGAAGGGGACTATGAACGCCGCCCCCTTTCCGACTTGGTATAACTTCAGGTTATCGCTACTTAGAGGAAGGAAGCTTACAGATTGTTTCAACTTTTAGCAGTAAAACAAAAAGATTAATATAGGATTGGTTGGAAAACTAAAACAAAACTAACCCAAAACTGGTATCAATCATTCACAATCTCTCGTTCTTATGTATAAATTCTTGCATTCCTTACTAGTACGAATTTGTTTTTTTGATATTTTTTCCGCAGCTTCAATCGCGAGAAAATCTTTGCGTTTTCCTGAATGCTTATGACATAGAACTACATGGCAATCGTGGTGAGCCCATTTGGGTCAGGACCCGGTCTAGCCACTGCAGTGGACCGTTTAAATGCAATTCAATCCAGCACGGTGTTGAGGTAACGGTTTGTCGTCTAAATTGAAGGTATGATTGTAATGTTTCCCCAACGGTTGAAAGTAATGGTCATTATGTATAGCACTTACCTGTATTCTGCTCCCCATCCCTTAACGAACGACATTCTAATTGTACACATTCTAGTTAGTTGATAGACCGCCTCGAAACCCTGCGAGACGGACTGCGATAGTAAAGCTGCAAATTCCTGATTGTTGAAAATCTTTAGATTACATCCTGTATGGGGCGAAACGACAGATACTCAGTTATCACTTAGTCTTCTTCAGGATCCTATTCCCCAACTCACCAGGTGGTATTTTACACACGGTCGCCGGATGCCAGCCGTACCGCTGATTACAGTTGGGGCTTTGTACGAAAATGCTAGAATCGCTGAGACATTCCGCAAACACTTCCCCGCCAATGTAGTACAACCGGACTCCCTTACCGATGTGACGGCGAGTCTGTTCGACCACCTCGTTGCGGTTCACGTTGGACAGCAGCCCGAGGCAAAACCTGTGCGAAGAATAACATCATATGTTTAGTATTGAGACGTATTGAGCACTGAAAATTTGGAACTCACCTTTCCGAGTTGGAAGGATCCGTGAAGCCGTCCACCGTGATCGAGGGCTGGGAAGCGTGAAATGTTTCACCGACGCGCAGGTTCAACTCGTAGTAGCTGATCGAGCACCAGAATGCGGGCTCGTGATACATCACCGGTTGTGCATCCATTGCTGGAGACAGACGGGACATATCCGCTGGAGGAAGTCATTGTAAGGAAAAAATATTAGCAGGCGCACTTGGATACTGGCAACTGAAGTGCAGAGGACCATGGAATGATAGTTTTTCTACCTAGAATCTAGGCTGTAGTATTGTAGGTATGTGCGACTCCCAAGTAACTCACCTGAAAATCAAACATTAACAGTGTCGTGTAGGCATAAATTGGACTTCAAGGTAAACTAAGAGATCTTCACGACCTGTCTATCAGGACCTTCAGAGCAAGTCCAGAAACGCTTTAGGGCGTAAATCCAGTGGATTTCCAAGCCAATGTCTATAGATTACATTTGCAAGTCCACGGAACGTTCAAGTCTAGAGGATCTCCCAGGCAAAATGTCGACAGACGGAGGGTCAAATGAAAGCTAGGAGGACAAAATGGACAAACAGACGAATGGACAGAAGGTCGAACGAACAAAAGTCAAATTGACAAAAGGTCGAATGCATTCCTTCTTTGAACCAGTAATGAGCAAAATGAGCAGTCCTTTCCGTCGTTTTTCAAATTTTGACGTTGTATTTTTTTAAATTTTTCTATTCGACCTTCTGTTTATTTTGATGTTTGGCTCTTTGAGTTTCATTCGGTTTTTTGTCATAGATTCCCCAGAGGACTTCTAGATTAAATTAGGGTCTCCGAACCAATCGCTATGAACTCCATTGATAAATCCAGGGGACCTTCAATTCAAGCCTAGAGTTTCTCCAGAGCAACCCTACAGGACTTCCAGGTTCTCTTCAAAGCCTTCAATGAGAAGGCTATCCGCGTCGGTGAGCTAAGAGGCGGTCTAGTTTAGTTTAAACGGACCTCTCGGCCTAGTTTAGGAAACCTATCAGGGAGCAAATCCAAAGGGGCTTCGCAAACAAACTCCATTGGAAAGTCCGGAGCAGCTACGGATAGCTTGTAGATTAATTTCAAAGGGCCTTCAAAGTAAATTTGTTTGAGGGCTTTTCGGGCAAGTCCAACAAACCTTCAGGGTGTTGTAAATGCAGATGATCTCCATACCAATTTCTACTAACTATATTGGCAAGTTCAGTGGACCTTCGGGCAAGTAAAGAGGATCTCCAGACTAACAGGTTAAATTCAGAGGATTATCTAGGTAAATTAGGAGTACCTTCACACCAGTCTCTGAGCACCTCTCGGGTAAATCCACAAAATCTTCAGAGCGTAAATTCACAGACTCTTTAACTGACTTCAATGTATATGTGAATATACTCTTTTTTATCATGAGCAGTTCTTTTGGACCTTTTGTTTCTTCAAGTTGCATTGTACCTTTTGCCATAGATTGCTCCGGAGGCCATCCATGTTAACCCCAGAGTGTCTTCAAGCTGAATTAGCAGGTCTACCAGTTAAGTTTATACGGAATTCCTAGGCTTAAAACTGAAAATCCAATATCTGAGAACCTTTCGAGCAAGCCCAGAAAACCTTCAGAGCATAAATCTCTCAGTCTCTAAAGCAATTTCTACGAGCTAGTCCAGTGAATCTTCAAGGCAGCAAAGCACGCTCAGGCCTTAGCCAGAATGGTAAGGTAACTAAGTCGAATGAACAAAAGCCTCAAGGACACAAGGTTGAATAGGCAAAAGGCCGCATGCAACTTAAAGGGACAAAAGTTTAAAATGTAGATGGGTACAGAACTGGATTTCAGATGTTCCGATTATTAACCATCATGGCAAAAACACTGGTGCGGTCTATGGTACTCCATAATTCTCAACATTGAAAATTATCCTTAATTGGATTCTTTAAGGGTATTGAGGTAAATGCATATTCGTAATATTTTGCTTTAAATCTTGATTTAAAAATCGAGATGAAAGTGTAAGGGTTCCCCTAGTACCACGTACCACGAAAATGTGATCTACCCACGTTACGGGGCATGCTACAATAAGAGGTTGTAAGGATGAAATTGCTAATTGCGACTCTCATAAAACGAAATTGGCAAACCTCGATAATAAAGACAAAAAAGAAACCTCTTCTTGTTACTTACAAATACAAAATATCAGCATATGATTCCATAATCCCATAAAACATATTTATAGCGCAATTAATGGAAGTAACCCTAGTTATTTCGAAAATAATAAGTAATCTCGAACATTACAGATACAAAAAAAATCTTGCTTCGTAGAAAACTACATTGGCAAAACATTCAATCAGTGGACGGAAGCCTTTGCAAGTGGATGGAACGTTCCATAGATGCTATATGAATAAAAAAAATTCCACCGAATGTTTATCGATGCAAATAAACCGACTTAATGGTAAATAATAGACTTCCTGGAATGGGCGTCAGCCAAGATTCGATTCAGGGTTCCGTATCAGAATGCAATTTATTTTCGTGGAAAGAAACCCACAAGAAGAACCATTTCAGGACGTCCGCTTATGGACATTCGTAGGTGGCTTGCTGTATTTGGTGAAGGCAAAGAGAAAAAGGCTCGAATGTGTGTCCTATAGGGGCATATGTGAACGTGAACCACTTCGGGGTGGGATACCAACAATATCAGACTCACTCATATTATCATTCTGATCGAGAGGATCGCCGTCTTCCGACATGTAACCGGGTGGAGGCGTCTCGGTGTTGGGAATCGTGCCGACGCCGATGTTCACCGAGTCCATAATCGTGGTGTTGGTCGGAATCTGCTGACCCAGTGTGGCCTCCATGTATGACGGGGCGGTTGTTTGGTGTGGCTGCTGCTGTTGCTGATGAGGTTGCTGCTGGGTTGGTTGTGGGCTGGTTACATAGTTTTCACTGGAAGCAGTTATAGAATGAATTTATCAATATGAGAGAAAAAAAAATAATCCCGCGGCTAACTCACTTCAATGCATTGTTGTACTGAATATTGACTGGTACGGTATTGCTCAAATCATCCAAGGTATAGGTAATGGAACTTTCGCCTCCCTGAGGTGTGGATAGGTTTTTCGGGACGAGGATCGTCAGTACCTGTTGCGATTGCGAGTCGACCTTTGTGTAATGATACGGATTGATACAGACTTCGTCCTTCTTCAGGTGGTATGCGTATTCGCAAATATCCAGCGCTTTTAATTCGGCTTGACTCTACAACGAAATAGAGAAGGGGTGTATGGTTAGGTTGATGACCTCATTTTGTTTCAGACGAACGTTGCATTTTTTCGGGGAATGATAAATGACCAAACACATAAATCATGCTAATGAGTTAAAACAAAGATAGTGGTAGGTCAATGCAACAGGCGAACGATGACGGTGATTAAGATACCGCGCGATTTTTTTGGCCGCATCCATACCTGTAAATCGGGCCAACGCCAAAGTCTGCAATAGATCACGTGTGGAAGACCTTTTCTCAGCGCAACTCCATTTTCGCCGTTAGCTGGACGTGCTCTGCAATTTGGAAGGAAACGAAAGCTTAGATTAGATTTGTATTGCTGAAATTTACTAACAAGGTGGAAAGGGTTGAAATTCAATGACCCAGTAGAAGATACTGATTCCTTAATTAGCAAAAAATGCGCTACATATCGATGCACTTACGAAAATGAAAGACTAGTATATAAGACATGTGTTAATGTATCATCCAAATCGATCGACGATATGCACTTTATTTCAACAGAACAGGCATTACTGCTGCTGCTGCCGCACACCGAGAAAGTTCATCTACAGAAATATAAATACACGGGGGACCCAAACCGATATTAATGCGTGTTGTGTACAATCTCCGATGATGTTCTTCCCACATATTATAGCTCAGATCCATATAGCCAGCACCAAATTGCAATGAAGATGATGACGACTTCAACAGGGACACAGAACAGAGTGCACTACAAGCCAAGATTATGAGGTAATTTGTGTGCACGGCTGGAATGCTTTTGCGCTCGCAGAAATGCACATTCACTGGCGACAAAAAGTGAAATAATGGCTTGCAGTCTTGTACTGATAGGTACCAACGTGTACCGAAGGCAACAGAGCGGATGTGATTCTGCTTGTTTTAAGGTGGGAGGATGAGTTTTTTTTTCTCGCGTGGAAACTGTTACAAGAAACGTAGATTCGATAGCACTGCTTGGAACTGGAATTGAAGATATAATTCGTGTTCATCCAAATCTTAAAATTTACGTTAATCGAAATCAATTCAAAATTTGCTCAAATTAATCTGTTGAACCAGTGTCTTGTACTAATAGTCGAGTATTAGTACAAGACACTGAAGAAGTCTGCACATTGTAGACAAAATACGCGTATCTGTCAAGGATAAGCAAATAAGGTAGTGGAATTAAATGGAAATTACTAATCCTTCTCTCTCTCATTATACAGGTATTCCACTAAGACGCCCACATTCATCAGGATTCATGGTCAGGTTCTTTGCGATATTCCAGATTTTCCAATAATAAAGGGCGAACACGAAATTATTGCGACACCGAAAATGTCATGCCAATTTTCTTATAATGTTTAGAATCAAACCAAAATTTTAGGGTAGTTTTATACATATATTTACTTCAAAAATCAAAAGAAAAGTTAATCGATGGAGCCTTGAGTGTAAAATTGAACGCATTTTCGCTTGATGCCCTCCATCAAAGTCTTTACAGTGTCATCCGGTACCAGTTTCTCAGTTTTTTTCCATTTTCTTAACATGTACTTCTCGTCTTTGACTTTCTTCTTGCTCTTCCGAAGTTCCCGCTTCATTATTGCCCAGTACTGCTCCACCGGGCGCAGCTCCGGACAGTTTGGCGGATTCATGTCCTTTGGATCAAAATGGACAGAATTGGCCTCATACCACTCCAGGACACTTTTAGAATAGTGGCATGATGTCAAATCTGGCCAAAATAGCGGAGCTTCGTCGTGCTGCTGCAAGAACGGCAAAAGGCGCTTCTCGAGGCACTCAGATTTGTAGATCTCGCCATTTACTGTGCCCTTTGTCACGAAAGGCTTACTCCTCAGTGCGCAAGAGCAGATGGCCTGCCAAATGAGATATTTGGAGGCGAACTTCGACATTTTCTTCTTCTTAAATTTGTCGTCCACATCGAACTTGCTCTTGCCGGTGAAAAACTCCAACCCCGGAATTTGCTTAAAATCGGCTTTTATATACGTTTCGTCGTCCATCACACAGCAGCCATATTTTGTCAGCATCTTCTCGTAGAGCTTCCGTGCCCGAGTTTTAGCCGTCGATTGTTGCCGCTCATCGTGGTTTGGGAAGTTCTGTACCTTGTATGTATGTAGCCCAGCTCTCTTCTTTGCATTCTGGACGTAGCTCTGCGACATGCCGATCTTTTTAGCCAAATCACGGCTTGAGACGTTGGGATTTGCTTTAATCATCCGCTTCACCTTTCCCTCCGCCTTTTTCTTCCAGCTCCTTTGCCGTGGTCTAACGTCAACCGCTTCAACACTCTGGAGACGGTTGAATGGTGAATGTTCAACATTTTTCCCAACTGCCGGTGCGACAGGTCAGGAAATTCCAGGTGTTTGGAAAGAACTCGCGTTGGTTCAACTCCATTTTCGTTGAATCGAAAAACACGACTTCGAGTTTGACAGCATGTACACAATACACATCAATGAGAAAGTGTGCAAAATTTGGTTGATTTTTACCCAAGGGTAAAAAAGTTATGCCCTGTTGAATGTGTCGCAATAATTTCGTGTTCGCCCTTTAATTAGGGTTGATTGTACACTCAGACAAAAATTAAACTAATTAGTATAAAATTCACACTGAAACACTATTCGTGTGGTTGACCCTAGGCTGCGTTTAGTTGCCAACAAAACGAGCCTAGTATAAACTTGAAATATAAGTGGTATAGTATATCTTTTGAATATACATGCGTAGTTTAATGCTGGTTTATCCCAGAACGATTTCCACGTCCCCAGCTTTGTTTTGGTTGTCAAAAGGATCATCAAGATGATAATAACACCGACAGAATTGATATGTAAATTGTTTAAAAGAGCCATTCCTATACGATGATTCCATCCTTTGGAAAATGCCCTTTTAAAACTAGTCACATATTCAATCAGTTAATAACACAATTTAAGTTTTTAATTTACTTCATTTCATTAAAAATAAATCACCGACACTTCGGCAATCTATTTCATTTCTCCATGATTGTTTACTAAATAATACACTGGTCAAAATACTCTCGCATAAATCGGGTTTAGTTTAAACTATATACTGAAGATAGTATTACTGATTCACAGAAATGTTAGCATCAGGGCTGGTAGCGATCAAGGCTGTCAAAAATACTGATTTTAGTGACCATGCTGAAGAAATAAGTGATCAAATAGTGGCCTAAAAAGTGACCAACGGGAAGAAAATTAGGCATACCAAATAAATGTTTGATGTTTTAGACTTATTCAATTAGATTCTCATAATCACTTATATATGTACGATAGGAACCTTTAAAGCGAAAGATTCAATATTGACTAAACCTCCAAGCTCCTACTACCTGGAAAAACTTGAAAAACCGGGAATTCGCAGGGAATTTAATTTTTCCTGAAAATACCTGAAAGTATCACACATTGAACTTTATAGATCCAGAATGGATTAATCTTCAGGAACAAATACATTTTTAAAATTCAGAGGCTTCAAATGATTTTTTTTTTGGTGTTAGAATATGCATATATTTCCCACAAATTTTATAAATTCTGAACTGAAAAGTTATAATACTTCAAGAAATTTTAAAGAATCTGCAGTCAAATTCCCTGCATAGTTTTAATGCTCATGGAATTTTATTATAATTTCTAAGGACCTCATTCCACGGGAGTTCTGAGAAAAAAAAATCTATGAGAAAAACATCAACTGCAATCTGCTTCCATGGTACTTCTGAGGAATTTTAGGCTTCATTCGAATATGTAATGGACTATTCTGAGGTCTTTATAACTACTTGAAAGTTCCCAAAATATTCCTGAATTTGATTAAACTACCTTGAAGTTCTTTTGTAGTTTGAGAAACTAACCTGATGATCGCAATACTTCTCATCATTTCTTGTAGCTTCTCTAAACTTTTTCGGACTTCCTAAAGCTTCCACAATTTTCATAACGATCAGGAATCTTCTCTAAAGTGTTAACATTTCAACATATTTTGTACTTGTTAGAAAAGCAAGGTTGGAAGGCAAGTGTTTGACACATTAAACCTGTCAAAGTCGCTTTCAGATAGTCACAATCAGCGATTTTACGACACTCTGAGTGAACGCTCACGAATTATAAAATCGCTTATTGTAACACTCTGGTAGCAAAATTGGCAGGTTTTATTAGTCAAACACTTGCCTTTCATCCTCTTCTTGTAACAAACAAGTACAACATATTATTGTAACATCGAATGATTTCAAAATTCAGATAATCATTTTTTTTATAGCAAGTGAGTGGAAGCAACCCTGCTGCTCTGTAACATCTCTGCTCTGAGGATGTCTTTTCTTTCTTGAAGTTTTGTGTGTGTTTAGAGCTTTATTAGCAAGATCAATATCTTTCTCGAAGTTCTCGAAACTTCTGTAAAGTGTTTGCAGTTCTCATGAAGCTTGTTATACTACCATGAATTTTATTGAACTGTTCTAAAAATATTTAAGCTTGCGTGAACTTCTGAACCTATGTGAAAACCTCAATAATTTTCTTAACATCTCTAAAGTTCTCTGAAAATCTGGGGACTTCTTGAAATTTCCCTCTAATTTAGTGGAACTAATGGAACTGAACTCCCCTGAAATTTCTGCTGTTTTTGGTACTACACTAAACTTATTTGAGATGCTCCCGAAATGTCCATAATAGTTCCTGAAATTGTCGGATCTTGCCTTAAAATCCATAGACTTCATAAAGTTCTCGAAATGTTTCTGAAGATCTCTGTACTTCTGTGAAGTTTTCAAATTTATTCTGAAATTTCCGCAGCGAAATAATTAATATAGTTCTATGATTGTCACTGAAGTTCTCAAGATTTGTCTGAAGTTCAAATTATCGAAACTAATTCATAACTTTTTCAATAGTCTAGAGTTTCCTGATGTTTTTAGAACTGCCCAGAATATTTCTCAATTTCCTTAAAATTCTCTAGACTACCCTGTTTCTATATTTTTTTTTAAAGAACTAGCCATTTTACTGGAATTAATTTAATTGCCTTTAAGTTCTACTTTGCTTTCAATCACTAATTTTCCCTGCAAGAAGTTTTCTATGCTTGCTTAATTTCTCTAAATTGATCAAATGTTCCGGTAAATTTTCTGATACATATTTATAATGTCCTGAAGCTTCTAAGGTTTTCGAATCAATCATAGAATTCTCGGAATATCCCATAATTCTAAGGAACTCCTTATAAGTCGCTGCAAATTTCCTTAAGTTAATGTGAATTTTCTAATGTTATCTGATCGTCCTCGAAGTACTCGGAACTTCACTGAATATAATGAAACAATATAAAAATATCTAAATTTCTTAGG